AAGCTTAATCATACGAGAAAACCTTCTAACTCCTTAAATATCAAATTAACACAAAATCTTCGTTAATTGACAAATTAATTTACTTTTCGACAGACAAATCCACTTGAAGATTTGAACAGAGAAATCGCCGAAACCCTTTGAGAACCGTACGACTAAACAATGACCTGCCGAACTAATGATTAATTCAAAAGTCGTTGGATTCCTCTCAATTTGTGGCTATGAAATTAGCGGAGGTAATCCTCTTGCTTAGATTTTTTGGCGAAAAAACTTGAGGAAATTGTATGTATTTTTGTAAACTTTTAGGGGGAGGCCCAATTACCCTCCCCTTCCCCAATCTCCCCAATTCCTGAATTCCCAACGATCCTTAAACTCCTAATCCCCGAAAGGCCGGTAACGCACTTGTAACGCCTCTGGTGTTCCAGGTGTCGACGACGCCGATTGGTTTCCATCAGGTGATCCGTCTGCTCGTTTACCGGCTTACGCTATAAAAATATAACCGGTATTAATTAATAAAAGAATTTGATATTTTCTCCAATAAACTGGGGAAATATAAATCCCTGCTCCACACATTGCTCACTGATGCTTATAGGTGCTGAAGTATATATTAACTTATTATCTTTTTCTTATCATTGTTTTATATTTACATCTTTTGTTTTGTATTTTAATTTTAATATTTTCGACATTTTTACATTCAAAATTAGGATTTATTTTGTTTGCATGACGTCGTCTCCTATAACTGAAGAAGCCCAAGATTTCTGTCGTCTTCCGTTATCATTGAGTATTCTCTGTTTGAAATTATTTTTAATAAACAAATCTTTATATAAAGCGGAAGAGTTTGTTTGTTTGAACTCGCTAATCTCCGTAACTACAAGTTTGATTTGAATAATTCTTTTTGTGTCGGATAGCAGATTTACCGAATCATTATAAAACATCACGCTACGACCAATAGTAGCTGAGCAGAGCGTGTGAAACCGCGCGGAAGTAGCTAGTAAATAAATAAAAGAATAGATCACCCGCTAACTCAGTAACCCCACGCTAAAAGCTGAGAACAGTATAAAATAAAACAATTGATTTGAAAAACGCCCCCGCACATAAAAAGGGTTCCTAATTATTAAATTGAAAGCTCTGTTCTGTTCGCACAATTGTAGGGTTGGCGACTAAATAGATCCCAACTTCGTAGCTGTTCAAACTTATTTAGAATTATGAATTTATTATAAGTATCTATGAAGGAGGTATCGTCCGAACTAATTTTAGATATATTACTTTTCTATTGCCGTTGGCCGAGTGGTCGCAAGTGCGACTGCCGGGAAAATTTCCGGTTTGGACAAAGTACTACTGGGTATTTTTTTAAATTCTGGTGGTAGCACGGAGTCTGGCATTGTGCCCGGTATATGGCGTTAGGCTCAACTGCCTATTATATGGAGCTCATAACATATAGAGGTATAATGAAAAGTGAGTGTTACATTGTAAGTAAAATGGCATCAAATGCTGTAATGTGCACCTCTGCCTACCTCTTCGAGGATAAAAGGCATGATATTATGTTACTTTTCTATTTAGTTTAATTCTGAACTCATCATCATCATCAACAGGACAACAGTCCATTGATAGACCTTCTGGTCTATCAATGGACTGTCAATTGACAGCCTTCTTAGGTAGAGAAGGCTTCTGCCTTCTCTACCTAAGAAGGCTGTCTTTAAGCTTCACGTTATCACGTTGGACCGTCTAAGCTGAGCCTAAAAAATCCTGAACCATTTTATACTATAATTTCCATTTAAAATATTCAGGTTTGTCTACACTTTAGACCTCAACACAGTTTACACTTTGGAACGAGCTTCACTGATAGACAGACGGACGGACAATTCAATTTTTACGTTAGGAAAGTGCCTAATTAAGATTTATTTGCACCTCGAAGTGAATAAAGTTCGACGGTACTGTATCCACCTGCCGTAAGACATGACGCTGGCAAAATAGTCAACTACTAAATAGAGGAGACTCAATTGCCATAGAAGAAAAAAAAGATTTAATTGAAATAAATGCCTTGACTTTGACTTCGTCAAAGAGCGATATTTAACAGCACGATCCCTGTCAAATGTGTAATCCCTTATTTAGTTCTTTTAACAACCACGTTGTGTTACATTGTTAAATGACATAATAAATATCGAATGTGTTTTAAATTGCAGCAAATATCACACTATCACAGATACGAAGTAAATCTTTGCGAGGGCGTATTATGAATGAAAGCGCACAACGCCATCTAGCGCGTGGTGAGAAGCAAGGGAAATGTTTAACCACTTTTTGTGTTCTGAATCTGAACATAAAATTTTCGATTAAACTTTTGTTTATTATCAAAAATAAGACATAAAATCATGCCTTTTATCCTGGATGGAGTAAGCAGATGTCCACATTACGGCGATTAATGCCACTGTACTTACAATGTAACACCCACTTTACACTATTTATGTTATGAGTCCCATGTAATAGGGGGTGTGAGTAGACTTACCTGACTGACTAGGTCAGCATATTGCCATATACCCAGCACTATCCAATCTAGAGTTTTCACTAATAATTAAATTTGTCTAAGTTAAGATTCAAATCTTAACTTACTCACTTACTTTACTATGGTTTTTATTCAGTAGAAAAAAAAACATTAACAAAAAAAACCTAAATATAACATTGAGGTAATTACATTAAACGCGTCGATTTAAAAAATGCATTCAAACAAGTTAACATAACGACAGCTAAACAAATGACACAAGCAAATATCTTTGTACAGTTATTAATCTTATTATATTGATCTTTACCGAAAAATAATTTGTGTATTGTCAAAAAAACCCAAAGCCGGTGCGTACACGTTCAAAACCTTCTTTAAAATAATATTGAATGGCTAAAATAAATATGGCTAATCATGATTAATTACACAGAGCAATGACACCTGGTGTGTTTGTGTGAATAATAATGTAATCATATGTGTACGTCTGTAGATATTATACACATATTTTTTTATGGAGTCGAACGAGCTGACTGATCACCTGATGGTAAGCGATCAGCGCCGCCCATGGACACCTACAACACCAGAGGAGTTACAGGTGCGTTGCCGGCCTTTTAAAAAGGAGTACGCTTTTTGCTTGAAGGTTAAGGTCGTATCGGTTCGAAAATATTTACATATATGTCGTTTTAGAATAATACTAGCTGACAAGGCAAACGCCACGCCTAAAAAAATTCTCATTCTTTAAGCCTTCCCTCGACTTCCACAAACATTTGAAGACCAAAATTATCGAAATCGGTTCAGTCGTTCCCGATTTTTAATGAGACTAACGAACGGATATGCATTTTTATTTATATAGATAGATAAGATATTTTGTGTAATGATATCTCACCTGTTTATCTACCAAGGGTATAGGTAGAAGTGACTATGCATATATCATATGAGGTATATCTTTTAGGTACTTACTCTCTATATTTTTATTGTATCCTTAATCGTAAAACTATATTATAAGAACTTCATCGTTTGATTTATGTCTATCACCAACCTCAACTAAAATTGTAATTGATATTATTGACTGTGTATTTGGAGGCTCGGCAGTGCAACCGCCAAGTCCAACCAAGTGAAGCGTTCGGCCGATACCCACTTTTTCTCGAAAGGCTTCGTCGTTTTTGTCATAAATTTAAAATGAATTTTGAATCAACAAAACTAAATACTAGCCATAAAATTATATCTTACATATTCATATTTTGTATTATTTTTACAATACTTTAAAAATGTTCTTCTTTCTTCCATATCTCCTTCAGTCAGCCAAATCTATCCCAAATATGTAACTCAAATTATATTTAAAAACCTATACCTATACCTACAATACGTAAACTAACTATAATAAAGAATAAACGAAACATTTATAAAATCAGTTTTACTAATAAAACGGAATAAAGATATTGTTGTCAGTAAATTATTACCCTAAATGACACGAGTTGTAAGCCGATACTTAGACACTTATATCTGTTGAAAAACTTCATCAAAATACACTAAGCAATTTTCGTGATCACTTCTAACATAATGACAATGTTCATAAATCGTGTATTATTGCATTGTAATAAATAATATTATTAGTATTAAATAACAACTAAATGAAAAAGTAAACTTAAACTTAAATTTCCCGACGGCTTTTAAACTTCGGTAAGTACAGGTCTTATCGACAAAGGTATTGAAATTGTTGTATAATACCTTTTATTCAATTATACTTATAGATTTGTTAACAAACATTGATTCATAATAATAATATGAATTAATTTAAAATTATGTTATCAAAAATAATCATAATTCTAATCATTCGTTTGTATCTGATTGGTTTGTGACAGCAGAAACACTATTGTTACTCATTTAGTTTGTATTGCACAAATCTTCTTGTATTACGTTATTTAATTCAATAAATAATTCCCTCAATGTATTGTAGTCTCAATAAATATAATTCATTTGTACCAACACCACCAACGTTTATGCCTAATTGGATGTAAAATGTACAACAATCAACTCTTTATAAAGAACTCAATCAAAATTGAATCATGTTCACTCCAATTTATCGTTAATAGGAACTGAATGTCATTTAATTATATAACCACATTTGAGTTCAGATCGTTATACTGAGTCCGGAAGTCAGAGCTCCCATAATTAACACTAAACCTGTCAAAATATCTAATGACATATCCATACCATATCATTAAAATATATCAGAATATGTGCGGAATTCGAAATATATAATGAATTATGAATATAGTAAAGGTAAAGGAATCAACGATAATTTTAATCGTTTGAAAGTGCTATTCCGGAATACTTAATGCGCCCACAACCTACCCATTCAGCCACCTTAGTCAATTCATCACCCAAGTCAATGACTCCTCAAACTAATCGACGGAGTGAATGTTAATTAAATGATTACACCTCGAACCTCTCAACACGTCAAACAAAATTAAAAGGGTTTTCAATTAAAACGAGAAAGTAAAATAAAAACAATTTAGTGTTTATTTTGTATGGCATTTAACAAAGTTATTTTCTCAAATACTATAATACATCGTTGGTACTGACATCGATTAATTCAATTAATACACTATTATATACATTTTGAGATGTACTAATGACTTAAGATTAAGACAACTAGTTCTTAAATTACATCTACAATTGGAACCAATAAATAAATTATACATGGAATAAGTAAAGAGAGCCAACCCTGCAGACACTGGTAAGAAACAAATAACTCAACAAACTGACGAATGTTAGCACTAAAACAAGATACAGGGTTGACCGTACACGACTTAACTATTCGGCTACATGAGACACCTATAGAAAATAATCTCTTTTTGGTACCAATCTCACTTCACATAACTAACGAACCGGCGCTACTTTACCTTAAATATTTATAGACGCATCAAAAACAAAATTAATCACAGTTAACTCAACTCGTCCCTCGCGGGTCTACCTTAACATATTTACAAGCCACTTGATATGAAACTCACTTTACATCATTAATTTTTAACTCTAGAAATAAATAAATGTTCAATAGATTCTTGTTCACAGTCCGTCGCACTTAAACTGCTGGCTCCGGCTCGTGCGGAGGTGCCGAACCTCGAAGGATGAGATCCTTCAAGGAAGGCAGGTTGGTCTTCAATATATGACCGACACGGGCCGCCTCAGCTGGTCGTCATGTGGGCTGTGCTGCGTGGGTGTGACAGGAGACACTGGTGACGAAGGAGCTGCTCCGTACTGAGGGAACAGTGAAGAAGGGAAAGGCTTCGGGGGAGCCGCCGGTGATGTGTACAGTGACGAGTAGAACGATGACACGACGGCAGCTGCGGACGATGACACCGTCGGCAATTTTTCCGTCGGAGCCATCAGCTTGGAGAACTGCAGATGATCCAATTGATGCGGGAAGTACGGTGGCACAGCGGAGTATGACAGAGCATCCAAGTGGCCTACTCCAGGAGCTGGACCGGCGAAGTATGGCAGTGGGAAGCTAGGGAAGGCACCAGCACCAGGAGCTCCTCCCTGCGTTGGGGGCTTGGGCTTCCTGCGGGGCCTGTACTTGTAGTCCGGGTGCTCCTTCATGTGCAGGGCTCTCAATCTCTTAGCTTCATCTATGAATGGCCGCTTCTGCATCTCAGAGAGCAACTTCCACTCCGCACCAAGTCTCTTGGAGATCTCCGAGTTATGCATTTTTGGGTTGTCCTTAGCGATCTGGCGCCTCTGCAGCCTAGACCACACCATGAATGCGTTCATGGGTCTCTTGATGTGACCCTCGGACTGCGGCGATGTAGCTGGCAGTGGTTGTGGCGCGCTGGGGTACTCCGGCAACATGCCAGGGTGCATGGAGAACGCGTACGGGTGATGACTTAAAGTCGACATAGCGATTATAACTTGAATTAATAAGTCGTAAGTTCTGTTAGAGCATTAGCTCTATGGACAAGTATGGCACAAAGCGGTGAATGAGCACAGACGAGGAGGTGATTGTGTCACGTCGGAGACGGACGATAGACTGGCGAGTCAGTATCGGGGCCTTGTGGGTATCGGAGCGCGGGGGGTGGGGTTTCTGGGCGGCGTGCGGCGGGCCAATGAGAGGCCGGCTTGTACAGCCTGCGCCCCTCCTCTGGCGCTATGTCGGTCTCGCTCTGTCACACAATGGGTGTGTGTCTCTCTCTGTCGCAACAATAGAGCGGCGTGCCGTGGCGCGGAACAGGCGTGCAGCTGTTCGGAGCCATGTCAGCGACTGAATGCGGCTCAATGCATGATGTAACTGTAGTAACAGAATACTTTACACACTTGTATTGTGGAATTTGGTTGTGTACCAAATAAATGGTTGATATAAATAGACCACGAGTGATCGTTTCAATGTCACCTTTTTGTGCGAAACTCGACATATTTGTAGTAATAGAACGTTGAATGAGCTTTTAGGGATAAGCGATTAAACATTTTTTACAGGTTAGTAAGCGGACATTCGTTCACAATCGTTGCAATCTTAGGATGTAATCTTTTGATGATATCTGATATAATGAAACTTAAGTAACAATAAGTAAGGAGTACTTACGTTACTCTCCTAAAGGTCATTATGAGTTAGAAATTACTATGGAACTTTTCGGACTTTGGTCTTAGTAGATATTGTATAGAAGTTTTTACAGATAGGGTCTTTCAAACGTGCTTACCGTGTCAAAATAGGGTTACAAGTACGGAAGGATTAAGAACATGTTTAAGTATGGAGGTACTGACATATTCAATCTTGGAAAGCAACAAGAACACGTGGATGTCGATTGAGAACGTGGTGAACCAGTTTCAGAAATGGTATGAGTTAATATTTTCTAAGTAACTTAGGTATATTAGAGTACGATTTCGCATATAAAATTGCTATGTAGTGTTATTAATAGCTACTACTATAGGGAAATAAAACTCCTTTCGGTTTTATATGAGTTGAAACTTTTAGGTATAGAAATGATGACTGCCCCGTTGGTCGAGTGGTCGCAGGTGCGAATGCCAGGCAAGGGGTCTCGAGTTCGATTCCCGGGTCGGGTAAAGGATTACTGGATTTTTTTAAATAAAATCTCAGTTGTAACACGGAGTCTGGAATTATATCCGGTATACGGCAATAGGCTCACCCCCTATTACATGGAGCTCATAAAATAAACAGTGGAAAAGTGAGTGTTATATTGTACAGTGGCAATAAGCGCCGTAGTGTGCACCGCTGCCTACCCCTTCGGGGATTAAAGGCGTGATGTTATGTTATGCTATGTAATTAGTAATGAATAAAAATGATTTTAGTGGATGATGGTTTTTTTGGTGGTCTTGGACCAAAGCTCTACCGTGCCCTTAAAAAATAGAATTAATAAAATGTAAGTAATTAAGAAATGTCTTTTTTATGGCTTAAGCCGGTAAACGAGCAGACGGATCACCTGATGGTAAGCAATCGGCGTCACACATGGACTCCTAGAACACCAGAGGCGTTACAAGTGCGTTACCGGCCTTTTGGGGATTAGGAATTTGAGTATAGTTGGGGATTCAGGGATTGGGAAAGGGAGGGAGGTAATTGGGAATCCGGTAACCTCACTCACACGACGAAACACAACGCAAACGTTGCTTCACGTCGGTTTTCTGCTCGGCCGTGGTATCACTCCGGTCGAGCCGACCCATTCGTGCCGAAGCATGGCTCTCTCACACTTGCCGATACATGTCAGTACCTATGTTATGTATGACTGTGTGTGTAGGATGGTAGGTAACGTACCTACAGACACACAGATAACGGATAGTACCGATAGAAGATCTACAGTCTACTTTAGACACAAACCGAGTTTAAAAATGTAGTGCAGAGCCGCAATACTGAAGGAGTCTAGTCACTGGAGGAGTAGACTTCTATTAAGACTAATGATAATGATGGGGAAGAGAAGAAAGATTCTCCAACCAGGCTAGGTAACCATACCTGAAATGCTACCTACCAACTGTGTAACAGTTGTATTGTTAGGATTTGTTATCCGTATTCAACATAACTTGCGTTATATGAGACAAGTCACGCCATCTACTGGATTCATTGCCAAACTAAATATAGTTTATAGAAATATCTATGTGGATCGCTCCACAACACGGTTGTTAATTTAAAAAGTCTCAAATAGTATTTTATCCGAACAAAAAGACAACTGCCTCGATGGCCGAGTGGTCGTAAGTGCGACTGCCGGGCAAGGGGTCTCGGGTTCGATTCCCGGGTCGGGCAAAGTATTACAGGGTTTTTAAATATTCTCAGTAGTAGCACGGAGTCTGGAATTGTGCTCGGTATATGGCTCACCTCCTATTACATGGGACTCATAACATAAATAGTGAAAAGTGGGTGTTACATTGTGCAGTGGTTTAATGTGTGCCCCTGCCTACCCCTTCGGGGATAAAAGGCGTGATGTTATGTTATGTTTAAAAAGACAACTGAAGTCTTTAGATACCCACAGCAGTAGTATTTGGAGCAATAACAATCCACTTTCAAACCAAAAGTTAGAGAACAAAGTGACGTCTATATTGATATATAACTATAAAATAATATAAATCGCAAAAGCATAGATAACAAAATAGGCAATCTAAACTCAATAGTTACGGTTAAAAGTATTATTCCCTCTAACTGGTACCTTATTATAATTGCGCTATGTCACAACACATGGACACAAGGAAACCTTTTACAAGCTTAACTCTAAATCGATTCTTCATAAGATAGTCGTAAAATGATCGTTTCTCGGATCGAATCGGACACGTTTTGTTCTATTGTCTCATAGGAATGGCTCGCGACTCTATACAGTCCAATAACTAGGATTAAGATCGTAAACGCATTCAGAAATCATAAAATAACTTTTTCATTATCAACCTGTATATACTTTTAACGACTTATCTCGGTATCATAGCAAATGATTTTCGTCTGTGTGACATAAGGGATAAAGTTGAGTTTTGTTTGAGATAGCAATCGCAAGTACAGGATGGTCTTTTGTTTTATCGAAGATCTCAAAAGTACTTCTTAGAAATCTTTGATAATAAAATAATAACAAGCTGTGAATGTGAGTAATTTCTATATTTTATAGCTGAAACTTTAGTTTGTTCACCTTTTGTTCATACTTTATGACCTATTAAAGTTTTCGTAATCCGACTTTAATTGTAAAACGAAATCGCTAATGGAAATTAATAATTTCCTTTTAAAGGCAAACAGTTACTTAGCTTTTACTGCCGCGAAGACATTTCGATCAAAATAAACATTATGAGGTACTGTAATATTATTTAATTAAGACTGTAATTTAATATGTATTTATTTATTTGGTAGGTATCGATTTTGTGTTAAGATTATAAGTTAAACGAGAGTAATCAACAGTTTACTGAATTTTCGTAAGTTTAACACTTAGTAGGTACCTACATAAAAGATTAAATGTTAATATTACCTATGTGACTCTAAAAAAGTTATTTTAACCAATGTAAGTTATACATACGCTTAATAATATCTACATATAAGGAAATCACTTCGTATAGAAACTTCAATATAATGATACTACCAACGCCATCTATCGACACAACGCGTAAACTTCGCATAGTGGCCTAATACCTACGTGAGACTATATTTTCTTTATTTCATTTTTTATTTTGTTTATTTATTGTATTTTTAAACATAGATAACATTAGCATCTTCTTATAACAACATTTTCATATAATTACTTAATTAAATTAACATCATCTTTTTTTTGTTCCATTGTTGAAAACGTTTTTTTTTTTTTATAATTAAGGCTAATCTACTAAAACTTTCTATGAACATGCTGTTAGCTTCATTTTGTACACGTTTTACCAATAAAACCTGAAAAAGAATGAAAGATGTGAGCAGGTACCTAATACAGGCGTGTGCCTTTTCTAGTTAAATAAATAAAAAACAAACAAGCTAATAAACAAACACCATTAAGTGAACAATAAAATAAAATCGAATCTTGTTTTATAATTTTATTGCGTCAAAACAAGTCACCTACTTCATAAAAAGAACAAAAACGGTACTAAAATAATAAAAAAATTAAATGTCATTTTCAACTGACTCTCCACCCGGCTTTGGGCGGATGCCAATATATTGACTTTCCTGATATGTTTTCTTTCATTGAAATCTTGTCCTTCCAATGAAATCACAGCAAAAAATGAAATATGCAATTTAGTGAAACCATTACGAAGTTGCCTACATGAGTAGGTAATTACATTTAATTTAGATTTATTTAAAAGATGATAAAACATACTATGGCACTTAAAACACAAGAGTTATAACATTACAAACGGTAAGAGACCTTTATAGACGCCGACATCTTTTTAAACTTCGATTTTAGAGCGACCGATGACACCAAAGTCATGTTTAATCACTGGTTAAGCGGATTACATGCGACATTACTCGAAGTCAAACACCTAAAGTGAAGTCAGGTTATCAAATTGACTTGCTTCTTACGCATCGCATCATACCTCGTGTAATTAAGCAAGCAGATGTATGTATACTATCAGATACAATCAGGACAATACTGCCAAAATCCTACTGAAATGAAAGTACACCTGATGGCTATTTTTTATGAGATAATCCCGCCACAATCTCCCAAAACCGCTGTTACTCCTGTAAGCCAATAGAATAGAATAGAATATAATGTCATTTATTTCCAAGATATAGTAGATAGATACAATCTGATAGCTATATATTACTATATATGACCAATTAAGCAGCCATGCCCGTATATCCAAAATATCTTTAGATCTAAGAAAAATCTCTTAATCAAGATCAGAAATATACTTCCGTCGAAAAACTACATCGCAACCAAAAAAATCACATCGCATTTCATAAGATGTATGTGACACGTTACGACTAACATCCATGAACTTCCCCTAACTAGCGCGAGTACATAGACATCATTAATTAAAAACGTCAACAAGCTAAATATATAACGTGATATAAAAACATCTCACAAAGGGACATCGCACCTAATTACTTATTTCTCAACACCGCAACAATACACCCGCCTGCAGACATGACCTGGATATCACCATCTCTTTCCACCCCCTCAAAAAAGAAAGAGAGGAAAATATTAGCTAGTTAGTCTTCGAATGCCGTTGAGCTTCGAATAGTGACAAAAGCGGGGTGAGCACAATATAGGCTTTAAGCCTATTCGCCCCATCTTCCTATTTTAATTTACGCAAATTTCCCATGACACTTCACCCGACATACCATTA